AAACCAGCAGGGTCTCAAAACTCCAGCTGAAAAAGCCAGCCTTGCGTTTTCTTGCGTTTTTTTTTCCAGACTGTATATCAGCACAGCAGTATGTTTTGTCGCTGATGGATCTCGACTGTTCCGATGGTCATTTTCACCACAAGACAATTTCACTTAAGGATGAGGAGTTTGGGGCTTTCAGTCTGCTGGAGAGAGACGGAGAGGCGGCTGAACAGCTCGCTTTCTAGTTACTGCTAAGAGCTGAATTCAGTGCACCTTTTAACACTTCAGACATCTGTCAGGGTAATGTGACTTCCACAGGCAGGCCTGAATGACAAGTGTGAAATCCCACAAACTCTGCAGGCTGACAGCGCACGAATGAAAAAGGATGAAATGGTGCAGTGGTTACGGCCCATTACTTATGCTGTGATGCTGAAGTCATATTAAAGAAGTAAACAGCTCAGCATTTCAAAACAGGGGTGGTAAAAGCAGAGGTAACAATTTCTGTCCGCAATGAGGAGGAGGGATGTATGCTGTATGTGGGCGTCTATATTTACATGCACGTTTTATTTTTTTATTGGGAATTCTCCTTGACTTCTTCAAATTTGTGAAGTGGGAGATCATTTAAAAAAAAAAAATGTTTTAGTCCTTTCGCGTCTCACTGCCGAGCGGAAAGAAAAGACATCGTTACTGGTTTTTAACTGCTGTGAAGCCAGGCACATCCTCTCTGACAATGACACACAACCTACAAAAGAAATCCTACAAGGGGGTCAATTAATCTACCTCCAGCGAACGTCCAGACTCCTCCCAGCAGCGTGTGCATCACAGAGTTAACAAGCATTTGCGTTTTAGAACGCCCATGGCCAAGAAAAATATATACAGGACATTACTGTGCAATCGGTATATTAAACGCAGCCAAGTGACTGTTTCCTGTATTGAGCCATTGGATTATATGTCATAGTAGTGAAATATGGGCAGAGAGAATGTGTGTATATGTACTGTTGCATGTCTATGACTAGTGTTTGTCTTTAATGTGTATTTATGTTGCCTTTTGTAGTTTTGTATGGTGATGCCAAAGACAATTTCCCTGCCTTTTAGATGGACAATAAAGTTATATCTTATCTTCTTTGTGGGACTGCCTTCCACAAGCAGTGAACTCCCATACATTATAGCCCCCACTCGTCCATTCTACTTAAAAGTCTACAAAAATGTTGCATATTTTGTATTTTTATTTCTTGCTTGAAGGTTTTGCTCATTTCCTTCACACATAATACCTAGAGCATATTATATTTAACATCGTCTTACATCTGTCTCATATCTTCTGTGTAGTTTTAATTTCTCGTGCAGCTCTCCTGTCTCTTCTCGCTGGGCTGGAACACCTCTCATTAGGGCTGCTCACTCACACACGCATCCTTGTGCAGAATTTGGACATCTACAGGAATGTCTCCCTGCCTCATCACGCTGACTGATACCGCCGAGAAATGGTGGTCATCAAATAAGCTACGTCAGGGCAATTAGATGAACCCATTAATATTTACATGTAAATTTCTACAATAAATTCATTCTATATGCAGATTGATATACATGCATGTCTGCTTAGAACTTAGAAATTTACATTTTTAAATAAAAAATACAAAATATTTAAGAAATTAAAAATATTTAATGTTTTCAGCAAAATAAAATGGTCTCTACTTACAGATACAACCTAGAACTTAAGAGTCTAACATTTATAATCATAATTATTCCCCATACGTGTACAGGAATTAATGTACAGTAATCCCCCATTATAAAAGCTTAATTCGCTCCTCGAAAACTGCTCGTATGGTGAAACTTTTTATAACGGCGGAAATTAAATTTCCATTACATCCCGAGATATATTTTTTGATTGTTCCAGAACTCAAAAAAGTTCACTCAAACCCTCAGGCTTCACCTTAATACAGCACGGAAAGATTCCTGAGCTGGAAAACAAAACTATTCCTCATAAATTATTTGACCAATCTTCTTCATGTCATTAGCAGAGGTCTATAAATAGACAGGAAAACAAAAACATTCCTGCTCATTTACAGTACAGCTACAGTACAGTTACATCGTTACAGTCAGCCGCAAATGCATTAACATTAGGGAGCGTCCTGTACTAGAGGCATTTAACACACACAAGCTAATTTAGAAAAGTTAAAATGTTTTTAAAAAAAAATCGAATTCCTCATCTGGAGATGAGAGAAAAGAAGAATCTCTGCAATGCTTTTCCGTGAGAAAAGCTACTACTGTAAGAGTGAAAATCTGCTCGTTAAATGAAAAAACAGGTAGGAACTACTACACTGCGTATGAATGAAAACTCGTACAGTGTGCTCTAATGTATTTCTTTGGAAATACAGTACCGAGCATCTTCTGATCTGACAAAGACATAAATATAGAATGTCAAGCTGTAGCAGCAGACATAGCAGGTAACATTATTTAATAGATATGTACAAGTCAGGCCAAAAGATGGGGCAAAATGTTTTGTAGGGGGATGACTCCAGTGCCACAGGGCTGTGTACTCACAAAAGACTGACCAGCAACAAACGGCAACAGACAAAACCGATTATTGTACTGGACTAATACTCATCTGATGTAAAAGCCATAAGGTCAGCCTGTTAGTCGAAGGGAAGTGAGGGGAAATCTGGCCTCTGTGGAGAGCCTCAGCCTCACAGAAGGAGGCCAGAGTCCAGTGGAGCAAGAACAAATCCCGGCGCAGGACATGAGAAAATCCCATTCACAGGCGAGCAAGGTAGATCTGTACGGTGCTGTGTATTTCACTCTCGAGACACATCTTTAAGAAAAGTGCCAGACGAGCCGGCATCAAGACAGCTGTCACTGACTGCGAAGAGGAAGAAACAACGCAAACCCACACGTTCTAAGACCAAATGCAAACCGTCAGCCTCCTTAATGGTTTGTTTCTGAACCGGTGTGTTAATTTGAGATGGCGCCTTTAATGTATATTTACTCCTTCTCAAAAGAAATATCAACCACAACACCCATTTATAATACATATTCTTATTTTCCAGCCAGTATTCCATAACACCGCAATATTACAACGTTTCAATCACCCACTGTCCTTGCATACCTGGTGCTCTTGCCTGTACGCGATCAGGTGGAGACGCCTTTCAATGCTTACAGTATTGAGTCAAGTCACCCCTTGAAGCAATGACTACGTCACATTCCCACTTCATTGACTGATGGAACTCATGCTCTTCACAAGAGCCCACTGAAGCTCTGCTCGGACTGGGGGCGGCCTCCGACGACCACAAACCTGACCATCGACTGCTCAATGACGTTCAGGAAACGCCTCATTGGCTTTACCTCTCGATACCTCCAGAGGTAAGCCCCCCAACTTTGGTTCCTGCCCTTACGCCGGGCAGCCCATTCAAGTCAAGCTTGCATCTGGGAACAAGACCGTGCTGATCTCCAAAACAGAACCGGAACTAACCCTGCAACTTCTTCTGATCTGACAGAGGGGGAAAAGGAGAATGTCAATCTAAGCATATAACAGACTTCCTACAACAGCAAACAATAGCCGGGAAGTGTTGCTGCTTCTCGATGAGCACTCTCGAAGCTGGATCATGAGGCTCGAACTAGACACTTTCCGAGTCATGTTTGGTCTCAGTTCTTTGTCAGAGTCTTTAGAGACTGTGAGCTGCTTTAATAGCAGTAAACATATATATTGACAAGCCGTCCTGCAGGTGTCCTGTGTCTGAACGCATTTTCCAATACGATTGGAATTGGAATTGAAAGGAGTAATCTGCCTCCACTCAATTGTGACTGAAGGGCGCAGTACTGCATATGCTGTACATTAAGACCTAGTGATTCATGATCGCTGAAAATGCTCCGTTCCTGTTATTCACAAGCCTTCTAACTCATTTATCGACACGATGTGTATTCCAACATCACTGCTGTTAAAATCCCACAGCGGATGTATTTCTGTTCTGACCAGAGTATTTACCGTGAGCCTCCAGCAGTCATTAACAAGCTTTGCGAAAGGCAGGAATTTGCAGGGGAACGTATACAGGGGGAAAAAAAACGAGCCCGTAAACCTGCTGCAAACTTTACCAGCAAAATTCAATAACTGCAGGAATCGTGTCTAATCTGCCACAAATGTCATACAGTAATTGCAGTCATCCACCTCCCTTCTAATTACACCGTCCTCCAAGTGTCTGTCTCTTCATAACTAGAAATGAATCCCAGTGTTTTCAGCTGCAGTCCCTGAAAATAAATGAAGCGGCACCTCTACGCACTCACCCCTATCCAAAGTCAGCCAGTTTCCGCCCTGCCGTTCACACCAAGACCTGGCACCTCCCAGACACTGGCTACACGTGGCCAGCAATGTTCCCTCTAAGCTGTGCACGTGAGCACGAACACAGCTTATGAAATCAGCACACACAGGAAATTGAACTGCGCACAAAACATTAAATCCCCCCCCCCAAAATGATGATGATAATAAAACAAACACAGTTGTCAATTGGAAAATGCTAATTCGACCACACGAGACTGGCTGCGAGAGGCCCACACCCAACTGTGTGCAGTGTTTTCGCTGCTCGATCATCGATATCTCTGCTCTCGTCGTCTCGGACCTCACTGCTCGCGCTCGCTCGGCAATCGGCCGCTACGACTGGGCTCGCTGAATCGCCGTCCCGGTCTTTTGGATCTCCGTGTTTATATGAGGATGACTATGTTAACAAAAAAATAATCTCAGGTTTACAATTTTACAGGCACTCAATTTAGTGCGCACAAGTTTTTGCCACTGGGGGAATTTTGGAATTTTTGCGCACACAGGCCATTAGAAATTACAGGGAACGCTGGAGGCAAGGAAGACGCCCTGTGCCCACTCCTTGTCTTTCGGCACTTTTTTACTGAGAATAAAGCCTAGAACTGCAACACACAGGTCCTGTCCACACGAGATGCCCAAAACAGCCAGGAGCGGTCGTTCCGTTAAGAAGCCCCGTCGTTCGGACGTGCGTTTCGAAGTCCCGGAGGCCTGGACGTACCTGGAATGCTGGCGGGGGAGATGGGGCCGGACCTGGACTGGTTGCTCCCGCCGGGAGAGCCCACCGGCGAGGGGGAGGGCCCCCCCCGCATGCCGGAGAGGTGCGGGGAGGCGTGGGGGGAGAAGGGCGACTGCGCGGGGTTGCTCTGCTCCCCCTGGCTGCTGGTGGAGCCCGACGCGCTCACCGCCGAGCTCAGGGCGGCCTCGGTGCCCGTGGGCAGGTCGTCGATGGAGCCGGACAGGTCCTGGAGCAGAAAGAGGAGGAAGAAGAAGAGACGCGCGGGGTGAGCCCACCGGCCAAGAGCTTCAGCCGCGGGGGCGGACGACCGCGCCAGCGGACTGAGGCCTTATACCCAGCTTCTCCCCAGCGCATCTCCGGTGCGTGTTCGCTCCCTCCTTCCTGGGAGACATCAGTGCCGAGCCTAAGAATTCAATCCAGCTCAGTTCAAGCTCTGCGATCCCCCCACCCCCGGGGGAAATCTGTTCTACAGCGCAGTCCGACACGACAACACAAACAAAGACAAACACGACCAATAAAGAAGACAGCACAGCAGCGGCCCGGGAGAAAAGAGCTGCTTCACGTTGTCTGAGAGCGAGACTGCGGAGGGGATGAAAGATCTCCTGAGTTACACCTGAGGACACAGAGGCGTCTCCCAGATGGGAGCAGTGTAGATTCACAAGGGAGGGGGTGAGACACACACTCCATGATGCCCTCAGCCTTCTTTACTACCCTCTGTTTGTAGAGGGTATTTAGGTCGATCTGATTTGGCCCAATGGGTCTGCTGCTTATCTTCACTCATTTCCCCACCTATTACAATTAGCGGTACTGACGCTGCCAACCCAATCCTGAAGACCGCATGTTAAAACACTTTCAACACGTATCATTCCATGCAGGCCTTCAGCACATACAGCACGCTCACCCCTTCTCATGTTGGGGGCTGGAAACATCAATTACTTGAGCTTTCACGACTGAATCTCAGTAGTAACTTTGACCTCGTCAGACCTATTGCATCTTTACAACAGGAAAGAGCACCACTTCACACACATTGTAGCCTGGCTGCCCGCTCAGCTCACCTCATCGCTACGCCGCCCAGCAATTACACCTACAAGACCGGCTTGTCCCGAACCAATGTGGCCCGCAGGTCATACTCAAAAGTCTAAGTAAATAAATGGTGGGGAGCTGCGTCAGCATGCGTAGGCTGCAAAGGAACAAGTAATTGGTTTATTCCATGATGAAAAAAAGAAGAAAGAGAACACAACGTTTCGGCCGTAGTACACAGCCACCACCACACTCATTCAAGGCCCCTCAGGACAATTCCGGATCACCCAGACAGCATCTTGTACCTCCAGCAACCTTATTTACTGTATCTCTTGCAGTAAATGCCCAGCCATCTACATTGGGGAAACAGGAAGGAGACTCGGAGACCGCTTCAGAGAACACGTCAGGGCTGTGAAGATTAAAGATCTCTCCAAACCCATTGTTTCTCATTTCACCTCTGACGGCCACGACCACTCTAATCTCTCCGTCTGTGTTCTTAAAGACGGTTTTCCGAATTCATACATCAGAAATACCACCGAAACTAAAATTATTCTGCAGCTAGGATCACACATTCTCCCTTCCCTTAACGACAGATTACTGTTCTTTTAAATTTTCTCCATTCATTGGAAGTTTCATTTCACACCTCTCTGCACCCATTCTGACTTCACACCTCTTGATTGGCCTCTCTTTCTGTCCCCTGCTCCCGCCTCTCACTCCTCCTCCCTCTCAACCTTTGTTCTCCCGCTACTTTACCTTTGCCTACTGCCCTGTCTCTCTCACACCTGAAGAAGGCTCCACGGCCGAAACGTTGTGTTCTCTTTCTTCTTTTTTTCAGCATGGAATAAACCTATTACTTGTTCCTAAGTAAATAAATGCCTTCTTTGATCAGGAACACGCCTTTTCAATTACCGCCTGTGCAGCACGAGTCCCCACAAAGTAAGACACTGCCAGGGACACCCCACAAAGTAAGACACTGCCAGAGACACCCCACAAAGTAAGACGCTGCCAAAGTAAAACACCATAGCAGAGGGATCTCAGCAACAACACAATATAGAGACCTCTGGTTTGCTTATGGTTTGGTTATGGTGGAAGCTCTGTAAACAAGAGAAGCCAGACGCGGGGGCAGTTCATATCTTCCGCAGTGTACACCTGTCTTGAGGGGTTGGCGTCCCCTTGATTTCCCGTGCTTCGCAGCCAACCAGAGAGCGGAGCTCGAAGTTCTTTTTTTTTTTTTTTTATTCCCATCTCGGTGAGTTACGAGCTCCAGTTTCACTAATCCCTTGCAGGAAAGCCTGAGTGACAGGTTGTGGGCATTTCCTCAGCTGCATGCTTTCCAGGGATTTCATCACAGAAAGCAGACGTAGCTCCTCATTCACGAAAGACGAGCGGGAGGGGTGAGTGTGTGCCTCTCAGCGTGTCTAAAAGACGCACACACACGCGCAGGCGTGCATTGTCACTGCCGCGGCACTTAACGCACTCTGAGAAGTCTCAGGAAAACCAGCTCAGACAGATTTCAATTACTTTGCAAAACGCCTCAGCTGGCTCGCCGGCCTCAGATGACCTTTGCTGCTCCTCTAATTTACACCAGGAGAATAAAGGCAGTTATTTTCAGGGAAAAGATGGGGTAAAAAAAGCACACTCTTGTCCGGGCTATCGGCAATCACACACACTAATGTGAGACCTCGCTGAGAGAAGAGTTACGCCTACCAACGAAAGTGTCTTTCTCGGCCTCACAACACAAGCACCCTAATTCACCAGAGATTGATGGTATTTTGGACAGGCTGCCTTGAATGACAAGGTAAGAGAGGAAAACCAAATCTTTTACCTTTCAGTTCTGATTCCCTTCTGTTGGAATCAGGCGAGATCACATCGGCGCCTGTACCTCAAGGTAAAGGAGTTGGCACACCCAAAAACAGACCTCGCGTTAAAAGAAACATAGAAAGTGAAGGACAGTATTAAGTCTTGGCATGGACAGCAGATTCTCCACCACATTTTACTTGGCTGCATTTCATAAAAGCGTAGCGCCCAACTCATGAAAGAAATGCAAGTGACCATGCGCATACGAACGGACAGAAGACCTGCTCACTGTAGAGCCACACACTGAGCACACATGAGCAGGGTGACTGTCTGGGGGGGTGTCTGCCCTTTGCTTTCCAAGAGCAGCACATCCGCATGAGGATGGTTCTGCAGGAGGAGGATTTGTACTGGGATTCCTATCTAATAAAAGTGGAAAGGGCCATGCTGATGATATCTTGCACTGGGCAATGGCCAGGGTTGGAAAGCATCAGCCACCCTTATGTCATCTGTATTTTGGCCATGAGTGGCTCAAGACCAAACTAGGCATTCTTTCCAAACACACGGACACTTATATCCTTACATATGTGTCATCTTTACTAGAAGAGAAGTGGCTTTTAACATGCTTACACTGTGTGCTCATGTATTATCCTGACCGTCGGACACAATCACCGGCAAACAACCTACGGAGGAAATGAGACATTCTTTCTTAAGGTGATGTAATTGTCTGTCTTTTTCAATCTTTCGCGTGTTGTGTGAAACGAGATGCTGCAGGTCGAAGCAGAAAAGCTCCAGGTACTGGCACAGCTTTGCCTCCTTCTGACGCTGTCTGTCCTCACCTGCATATAGAGTTCATTTAAAGACGAAAAACGTATTACTTAGCAAGACAGGTTTTCGGTCTACAGCAAATAAGTTAGGGTGTTTTACAGTACAAATATATTTATATAAATGGAAAGACCAAAGACTAAGTAAAATGTCAGAATGCTGTTATTTTCTCTGAAAACCTTGTGCTCTCTGTTACAAAATAACTTTTCATCTTTCCTTTGCAGTTTAATTCTTACAAACTCAAACCTGAGAGACACTGCATGTTCTGCATGTTGAGCTGTCTGTACTGGTCATATTTTTAAATTCACTTTCTCAATGGCAAACCAGCAACTCACCCTACACTTCAGGAAATTAAAATGAGTGGCACTTATGCTTGGAACCATCAGAAAGCGTTGCTACATCAGCTCCACACCGAATCTTGTGTTCCAACCATAGGGCTGTAAAGTAAGGAACTCTGTGCCTGTAAGCTTCAGAACTGCACTCTGAAGACGCACATAAGCCAGAGAAGGAAAAAAACATCTTTTACCTTTTCTTATTCTGAATAAACGTACAGCCAAATAACAACAAAAACAAAAGGATTGACAATGGACTCACTGATGTTATGAAAGAGTAACTCCAAACCTGTTTAGAAGACAAAAAGATGCTGCTGCTAGTTAAGAAGTTACCCTTGTGCTCCATGCTCTATATTATGTATTACCGCCAGAACTGTTTACAGTAGCCACCAGCAATTTCATTCAAATTGTCGACATATCTTCCTCTTCCAAAGCGGCCAAAACCCAATTTGTTTGCCTCTCTGCTGCAAATTGCTCTGTGCATGGGTTCTCAGAATGGCTGTCAACTAATCCCAGCTGGCTTCTTGTACCACTTAATTCGCTTCTGAAGCATGTAATTGTCATAATAAGAAAAATATTGAAGTGATAATAGCCACTCACTTTCAAATGTCCAGACCCCTTCCTAATGACTTCCCCGTTACACATTTCACACAACATTTAAGAAGCAGTAACGCGTATCTTTTAGTGTTGACCACTTTGTAACCCAGATCTCATTTTCACAATTGTGAAGCAGTTGGCAGTGGCCATCGTTGGCAGAGAGGGACTGTTCAAACTGCTGCAAAGAGAACTGAGCAGTTCAAAGATGGGCGGCTTTTTATTCCCTGTCAGAGGTTAACCAAAGAGTCACTTCTATTTTCACCAAAGCCAGTGTGTACTAACAATCCATTCTTTAGAGTTATAATGTGGGGAAAAAAGGCCATTTTTCTAAATACAGTATCTGACAACATCTGGATTTGCTTTCATTTTGTTTAGCGGTTGCTCCTATTTTTGAGAATGTTTCTTAAATGAACACAAAAGCTTGAATTAATAATGGATGCTAGGCCATTAGTTACCGATGCTCACATCGTAAAATTTTACTTTTACAGCACCTTGCAAGTATTAAGACTTGCATCTTTTTTTACATCTTGTTATTAAGCTTGCAGTAATGACACTTTGAAGCAGCAATTAATATTTGTTACATTCACAACCTACTCCACACATTGAAAAAAAACCACCAATGAAATACCGTTTTGAAAAAATAAGACAATATGAAAGA